CCTTCTCCTTTTCTATCTCTCCACCGTGGATTGCTGGTTCTCTCTGAACCCTCTTCTCAGGCTACTGCCAAAGTAGGTAGCTGTCTTAAAATCCAGTCAGGCTTTTACTGTTCTACGCAGCAGCAATCGACCTCACATCATCAGCATCATCAGTATATTTGGTAAAACAGTTGGGAATTCTTAAAGGGAGAAATTAGTTAAAAGAGAATTCTTTCCCACATTTAAAAAAAATTGGAAAAACCATTACAATGGAAATATTTGGGTCTCTGTATGATAATATGCTAGACAGTTTGAAAACGGAGCAATTAAATGAAAGAATATCTTATATATGTGTTACAGAAACTTCAGGAAGGCATTCAATAGTATTTGGAGGAAAAGACTTTGGGAAACGATGAGGTTCTACAGGTACCTAAAGAAAAATGTCTATAAAGATACCTTTGCATCAGTCAAAGTCCATGGAGAACTATGTGATCAGTTTAAGATAATCGTAGGAGTGTTGCAGGGATGCATCCTCTTACCACTACTCTTTAATACAGGCCTGGAATTAATAATAGCAACAGCCCTAGGCAATAAGGAGACAGGTATACTGGTAGGTGGTGTGAAAATCAACAACTTGTGTTTCACTGACAATACAGCACTACTTGCTGAAAGTCCAAATTAGCTCCATGCCACAGTAAATTGGGTGGTAGAAGTCGGTGAAAATCTTGGTATGAAAGTAAACATCGAGAAGACTGAGATACAACATGTGGGAAGAGCGCACAGGATTTTAACATTGTAATAAAGAATCAGAACCTCAAGCAAACAGTCAACTTTGTCTATCTAGGAGGAAACCTCAGTTCAAACGAAAAAACTATTTCAGACATACAGAGGCAAATTGGGATAGCAAGGGCTAAGTTCCAGGCACTAGGAAAGGTTTAGTCAATAAAAGACATAACAACAACAAAATTGCAAGTATATGAGACACTTGTCTTGAGCTGACTTCTTTACAGCTCCAAAATCTGACAATGAAACACTCCTCAGAACAGCAGCTGAATGTGTTTGAGATGGCATGTCTCAGGAGGATTCTAGTGTCACATACAGAGATAGACTGCACAATGATGACATTAAGAAACATCTCCATCTAGAGAAGGACAAAAACTACAGGATACAGCAATGGTTCTTGAAATACTTTAGTCATGTTATGAGAATAAATGACCACAGACACCCAAAAATAGCACTGCTCAGAGGAGTACATGGGATAAGATGAAGAGGAAGACCCAAGAAATGCTGGATAGACAACATAAAGGAAGATTATAGAACCTTGAGAATGACAATAACACAAGCATCTAGGACTGCCCAGGATAGGAACAACTAGAGAACCGCCATAAATGGGCTGCCCATACATGCTTAAGCATTGCTGGGGCATAAATGATGATGATGATGATGATGATGATGATGATGATGATGATGATGATGATGATGATGACAACCTGGTTCAGAAAAGAGGCTAAGATTATTGAACAACAGAGTAAAAGTAGAGATAGGGAAATCTCTCAAGAACAAATTCTTGGAGACAGAGGATATACTACTATCAAAAAGCAAGCTATATATGATGTCCACACCCTGGATTTATGCTGTGCAGCAGCTTTGAATTCTTGGGACAGAATTGGAGAAATAGGAAATAAGTTGAGTCATTTACTAAAGTTATATAGGGCCCAAAAGAAGTCTTTACTGATTTCTTACAAAAATTGATTTGAATAGTAAATAGAATAACACCAAATTCAGAAGCTAGATAAATAATAACTGAAACTTTGGATTTTGAAAATGCCAGTTCTCTATGCAAAGAAAAGATAATTAGGCCATTAAAGGCAAGTCAAAATCATTGGAGAAATAACTATATATTTGAGATATAGTTAATATTGAATCTCATGAACATGATGATGCATGAATAGGAGAGGTAATTTCCAGAGGTTTTAGGAAAAATTGAAATGTCAAATGATATAATTATGGCAAACATGTCACCTTAAAAGGGATTGTAGACAGGCAATTTGGTGTGGAAGAATTGTCTGTATTCTGTTAATCATATTTTAATAAAACACTGATTGGCCAGGCAGGCAGGTGGGAAAGCCAGACAGGAAGTAGAGGTGGAGCAAAGAGACTGGGAGTATTCTGGAAAGCAGGAAGCTCCCTTCGCAGTTCTGCCCAGACCACCGGAGAGGAAAGATGTAAGCTGCCCCGCTGGAAAAGGTACTGAGCCATGTGCTAACATAGATAATGATAATGGATTAATATAAGTTATAAGAACTAATAAGTAGCCTGACCTAATGGGCCAATCATCTTTATAACTTATAGAGATCTCTGTGTGGTTGATTCTCTCTGGGACTTGCCGGTTGTGGGGTACCGGGTGGGAACAGATACCCCAACAAGCTGGCCCTCATGCTACAGCAATTCCTAGAAACAATGTTTTTTCTAAGAATAATCCATTCAGAATACCTCTCCCTTCCGAATTACGTGGAACATGTGGCAAAGACAAGGGTTGCATTAAGGGAATGTAGATCAACAATAAATATTCATGGTAACCCTCTGTCATTGGGAAACTCCATGTGGAGCCTCTTGCAGGCCCCTATGTCAAATCTGGTTCAGTCATTTCCTATCATCATAGAGGAAATTCCTTCCTTGAACAATTAAAGAACCTAATGCCTGTAGCAAGAAACCATACTGCTGTGGATAATAGAACAGTTATAGAAGAAAGAACAAAAAATTCAGGAGAAACCATAAAGTGAGTATTTTGGCAAACTTATATAAATGAACAAAAACCAAAATTAAAAATATGAATAAATGATGTTGTCATTGAAGGTCTGTAGACACAGGTGCAGATATAAGAACAATTTCATCAGAATATTGAAGAATCAACCAGCCCTTTGGGAAATGAAGAGTGGTAGCAGATCTGAGAACTGTTAAAAATAAGATGATTCTGCCAATATGCTTTCTACAGTCTGGCATTCCTTTGCCTTCCATATTTCCTAAAGGATGGCCTCTTATAGTTACTTCTAACTTATAGTTAGAAGATTGTTTCTTCACTATACCTTTACAGGAAAAAGATAGAAAAATTTGCCTTCACAGTTCCTACTTACAGTAACTCTCAACCGGCTAAGAGATAGCAGTAGAAGATTCTCCCACAGGGAATGTTAAATATCCCCACCCTGTGCCAAAACTTTGCAAGTCAGCCATTGGAAATGATACACAAGCAATTTCCTGAATCTATAGTTTACCATTACATGGATGACATTTTGCTATCTGGTTCCGTGGTAGATACTTCAGAAAAAAATGTTTGAAGAAGTAAGGAAAATTTTGCCATGTTGGAGATTACAAATTGCTCCTGAAAAATTCCAAAGAGGAGATTCTGTTAAACATTTAGGCTATAAAATAGGTTTACAAAAGATTAGACCCCAAAAAGTGCAAATTGTGAGAGACTGATTGCAGACTCTTCATGATTTCCAAAGATTACTAGGAGACATTTCACATCTATGGAATAGGTTCTGATGATCTGATTAATTTAAACAGTCTAATTAAAAATTAAAAATTTGGAGTTGGAGTGTGGCTCTCTTTTTTCTAAACCAAAGCATGCTTATTAAAGTGAAATCCAAAATCTCTGAATCATGTCAGAAGAGCCACCTGATATGGAACAGAAAAAAAAAAACAAATATTTAAGGACTATTTTATTGCCACTATTCTCAAAATCCTTTGATTTTATATTGACTCTTTAACAGTTTTTCTTAAGGTATAAGATAGATAGATAGATTGATTGATAGATAGATAGATAGATAGATAGATAGATAGATAGATAGATAGATATTAAAGTTTTATCATGATAATAATGGTCATACAGAGTGTTAACTAATACTAGAAAAATGTTTCATCTACCTTCCTGTACATGATTTTAGGTTTGAATCTCTATCAGTTTTCTGCAGGGAACCATGAGCAAAAAGGCTTAACAAAGGAAATTAGATTCAAGGTTCTTGTTTTAAAAAAAGAAAAGGAGGTATAGATACGATAAGATAAAGAGGTAGTTCATTGAATCTTCTGTTTAAAAAGCAACTGCTAATTTTAAATGCTTTACATTGGATTGAATTTCTGTATATTGTATACAAATTTTGTATATTGATACAAATGTGAGATTAATTTTATTAAAACAGACTGTACATACATTTCTAATCTTGTTCAAGGTATTGTACCTATATACCTCATTAACAATGTAATGCAAATTTCTAGTCCTTGAAAGTTATTATTACCAACTGTTGAGGATAATAAGGAAATGCAGGTTAGTAACTGGTCACCTATTACAATTGAACTTGTAGTCACATTAGGTATGTTTTCAAGGTTAAACATTGATATACTTTAGAGAGGTCATCTTCAGACATTTTAGAGATCTATAAAATATGGCATTTAATATGTTTTAATATCATAGGTTCTTTTTCCTTTTATTATGACAATTAGGCATGTCTGCTCCTGGCAGCACCAATTTACTTCAGAGAAGATAATGGGCATCAAAGACACGCCACATGGATTTCACTGTCTTTGTGGCACAAGTAAGCCACTGGGTAAGAAAATGTCCTTGCCTCAATAGCTGATAACCTGCTGTCCTAAATTAAACAAGCAGGACACACAAAAAAGTGACTGCCAAACATTGTCAAGACAAGGAGAGATAGCCCTTCAGAATATCCTGCTTCACAGAAATGTCTGTCAGATATTCCAGGTCTGTAGGCCAAACATGGATGCCACAATATTGCAGAGGAACTTTGGGTGACTATGCAGGCAGCCAGCTGTTTCTGTCATTTCTCGCAATTTTGGAAGTCGCTTGCTTGCTCACACTTCCTGTTTACTCAGTTAATACTATTTCCTTCTTGGATCTCTGAAAGAGTTAAAGACTAGATAGTTATAGTTATAGTTTCCTTGTTTACCAGACTCAGAAAGCAAGTTATGGTAGAAAGTAAATTAGGTGGAAGATATTGAACTCACAAGATAGGATAGATATGGAATGTTTTCTCTGAATTTGTCAAATGCAAATGAACTAGACATTGTTGAGATATTTATTGCCTGTATATATTGTGTATAGTTATTGTACTTATTGTATATAGTTTTGTTGTATATATTAGTTATAACTTTCCTTTTATAATTTTAGACAAAAGGGTGAAATATAGTGATATTTTATTTTAAATAATAAAGCTTGCCTGAGGATCAGAGGGTAAAACTAAGCCATTAGATCCCAGGCAGTGGTGTCAGACACCTTCAATCCCAGGACTTGGGAGACAGGCAGATGGATCTCTTTGAGTTCAAGGTCACCCTGAGCTACACAAGATCAATGCAAAAACAGAACCAGATGGTGGTGGCTCACACCTTAACCCCAGTACTAGGGAGTCTCACACCTGTAATCTCTGCTCTACAGGAAAATATAAGATGAGAGGAGGCAGAGGCTCAAAGCCCAGTTTGCAGTCACCCAGCCTTAGTAGAGGTAAGATTTCTCTAGTGACTGGCAGATTTGCTTTTCTGATCTTCAACATTTAACCCCAATATGTGTCTCTGAGTTTTTATTATTTGTGTTATATTCTATTGTGGGAGGTCTTTATATAGTCTGGACAGTCTACTTTTGTTAGCTATTACTTTAGCAAAGGATTTTCCCCAAGTCAGACACATTTATAAGCTGGCATCATGTATATCATACAGCTACATGGGTTCCACATTTTCATTATCTGTTGGACTGTGAGATTTGTAGGAGTCTGTGAATTTCGTTTTGTAGTTGTTTCCAATGGTTTACACAGTACTGTGTGATTGTTAGGAAACAGTTCAACTAAAGAAGATCTTCTGTCTTACATTATTTTAGTTAAAGTGAGGCAGAAGAGCAGTCATTTCAGCTTGCTGTGACATAGGACTTCTTGCCGCAGCTGGAGACTTTCCTTTGATGTTTTCCCCCAAGGTCCCTGTGATTAATTACAACACATCTGCTGGGTGATATTTGACTGATTGCTTCCCTAGAAGCAGAAGTCAAGAGTGTCAGAGCAAAGAGCAAGACCTTTCAATGGGAATGTGTTGGCTCTGGTGAGTGAGGGCAGTAATCTTGACAACCTAAGGGAGCAGATTTCAGAATTTCTGCAAGCACCAAGCAACAGAAAAGGAGATGGAAGTGTGTGTTATCCCACCAATATCTTATTACAACAGAATTCTGGCAAGCTCTGACTGTGGTATCTGCCTATGCTTGTACCTTTGTGGCACTATTCATTTCTATCAGTTTTGACTGACAAGGGGCAGTTGTGGTTTAAATATGAAATGTCCCCTGTCTTAGTGTGATTATTGCTGTGATGAGACACCATAACCAAAAGCATGCTGGGGAGGAGGAAAGAGTTTGTTTGTTTTATGCTTCTACATTACTTTTCATCATTGAAGGAAGTTAGGACAGGAACTCAAACAGGGCAGGAACCTGGAGGCAGTAGCTGATGTAGAGGCCATGAAGGAGTGTTACTGACTGGCTTGCTCACCATGTTTTCTTAAAGAATCCAGGACCACCAGCACAGAGTGGTCTCTCCCAAAATGGATTGGGTCCTCCAATATCAATGATCAATTAAGAAACACCCTACCTTCTTCCCTGCAGTCTGATCTTACGGAGACATTTTCTCAATTGAAGTTCCCTTCTCTCCAAGGACTCTAGTTTATGTCAGATTGATATAAAAGTAACCAGCACATCCCCACATAGGCTCATGCATTTAAATACTTGATCCCCCACTCACGACACTGTTTTAGAAAGTATGAAAACTCAGGAGATATATCACAGCTGGTAGGGACTAAGCAATGGTTCTATAGCCCTGGCACACTTCCTGTCCCCATTCCGTTGCCTGACTGCAGGACGATGTGGGTGGCTAGCTACCTGACACTTCCATTGTCATGCCTTTCCTACCATGATAGACAATATCCGTTCCAGTTTCACACTGGAAAAAAATCCTACTTCCCTTATGTTGCTTCTCCCCAGATATTGTCACATCAACAGGAAGCGTAGCTGATATGCCAAGGAAAGTGACACTACCCTGTGGGCATGGCACAATCTCAGTCTTCAGTTACTGTGAACCATGGTCTTTAAAATGATGAGGTTACTAAGGAATTTTAAATGTAAGGTATTTCCCATTATGTAAAACTTTGTACATGGATACTTCCTGGATAGATTCTGGATAGGATTTAACCACACCATGCTTCCTAGGCAAACTCCTTCTATTATAGTAAGATATTCATTGAAATCACACACACTTCCACTCCTTCTTCTGAGAGTCCCTGAACATGCAGAAACCAACTAGCCTGCTTTTGTCAGGACTAGGAAGAGGTGGAACTTAGTCAGCCCAAGGGTCAACATGATCTTAAAATTCTTGTGCCTGCTTCCTAGACCTGGAGGGAGAGGGGAGAAACTTGAACTTCCCACAGTGCAGGAAACCCTGACTGCTCTTAGGACTAGAGAGGGAGGAGGAGAGGGAGTGGGAGGGAGGAGGAGAGGGAGTGGGGGGAATGGGAGGGTATGGGGAGGAGGGGAGGAAGTGGAAATTTTTATAAACAAATAAATAATTAATTAAAAAAATCTTGTGGCTGTTCTAATAATATCACCACCCTATAGGCCCTACAAAGAATGGGGGTCCATTAAGATGACTTCAACTTCCCAAGACATGTTTAAGTAAGAATGTGGAGTGTGAAAGGAGGAGAGACAGGCATTGACTTCTTGAATTTTCACATAAAATTAAATTTTACCACCAAAGTCAAGTCTGACTGCCAGGGCCATTAAGTTAACACTATATATGTGTGTATGTGTGTGTTATAGGGCATTTGTTTACACTGTGTGAAGATATGTCATTGTGATTCATTTAATAAGACATTCACTGGCCCATAGCTAGGCAGGAGAGAATAGATGGAACTTCTGGAAAGAGAGAGGAACTCTGGGAAGAAGAGAGATAGAGAGACACCAGTGAAACACAGAGGAAGTCAGATGTAGAGAATGAAAAAAGAAAACGGTTATCAGGTAAAAATTACATTTCCCCCTTTTTGTCTAAGTAAAAAGGAAAGATTTTAACTTTAACACAGTAAATCTGTATACAATAAAAATAATTATCAGATAAGAATTATACTCACAATGTCTGGCCCATTAGCATTTGGCAAATTCAAAGAAAATATTATCTATTCTATCTTTGATTAGTCCAAAGTTTTATACCTAAACCTCTTTCTATTATAACATATTACCAACCTAAGAATTTTTTCACACTTTAAAACATTTTCTTAAATAAAAAAATAAGTTTTTATGTTTTTTAACCTCATAAACTTTACAACTCTCATATAAGTTTCTTTTCTGAATTGGTAACAAGGAAAACTGTGAAATTTTAACTATCTAGTCTTCAACCCCATCAGAGACCTGAGAAGGATATACTATTACCTGAGTAAACAGGAAGTATAGAGCAAACACCTTCCAAAACTATAAAAATGACAGAGTCCCCACAAATGGCAGTCAACTGTGGTGAGTGCTCACGGAGAGGCCCAGGTAGCAACTACAGCAGCATTAGCTGGTGTGACTTCTCCCTCTGTGTGTCTGTGTCACTCATTAGAGTGCCAGAATGCAGTTGGACTTTCTTTTGTAGATGTAGATAGTTATTGTTAATTATAAAAGCTTGGCCTCTAACTTAGGCTTGTTCCCAACTAGTTATTATAACTCATTTAACCTGCTCCTATTAATCTACATTCTGTCATGTGACTTTTCACCCCTCTTTCATTCTGTACATCTGACTTCCTCTGTGTCTTCCTGGTGTCTGTCTACCTCTCTTCTTTCCAGAGTTCCTCTCTTTCACTGGAAGTCCCACCTATTTTCTTCTGCCTAGCTATTGGCCATTCAGCTTTTTATTAAATGAATCACAATGACACATTGTCAAGGCCCAAAAATGTGAGCCTATTTCCACCTTGTCTAAAGGTCAGAGAGTTTTAGCTTTGTTCAAAGTTGTTGCCAACAACTGTGTCTACACACCCTGGCCTAGGGTGTGGTCACTTGGTGTTTTGGACATTGAGATGGCCCATACAAGTTGATTCATCCACTCCACCATGACCAAAGGTTAGAGAATTCTAGCATACTTCTGCTCCTTCTTTTGAGTTTAGAGGTTTGACCTAGGGAGTAGCTGCCTGCAGGATACTTGTTCTAGGGTGGGTTCACTGCCTAAACAACAGAATGTTTTTCTCAATGATTAATGACTTGATAGTTGTCCTTTGTATCATGTTAAAGCAGTCTTTTGCCTTCTCCCTCCTGTTGTATTGGGGTATAAAAGTGTGTGGAAAATTAAACGTGGGAGAATTTTGATATTCACTGGAACTCCCTCCTGGTACTATCCTGTTTCTGTTTTATTATTTTCACTCCCATCTACATTCTCTTTACTAACTTTTCTAATATCCAAGCCCCTATGCTGGTAAGTAGTATACTTGTCAAAGTTCTTCACACATCTTCACACAGTGTAAACAAACATCCTGTAACATATGTCTGATTGCCTGTATGTATGTATTATGATAATCATTAACTCATGTGGAGATGTATGACACACAGCACAGGCAGGACTTGCTATTAGGAGAGCTACAGATCACAGGAAGTTGTCCTTAGAACGCTCAGATGATTGGCAAAGCTGTTTCAGAAAGGTCTAACTTACCACTGGCCATTTAACCAGCCATGAGATTTATTCCATGGTAGCCTGGGAGGTGGGAGCAGACCACACAAGATGGACAATGCATTAACTGTGGGGATCTAGAGTAACATCCCTAGGAGCTAATGCTCTGTTGGCAAGAGGAGGCGCTGTGCTCAAGTCTAGGCTCTCGGAGGATCTTAGGTGTTATTTAATCTTCTTTGATCTTTATGTGGCAGATTGTAGCTTGTTTAACTTTCAACCATCATGTGTGTAGGACCAGGGAATTGAGAGCGGTGTATCTGACCTGTTTAAAGTGGATCCTCTAATTCAGCTCCCTGGAACTCACAAGAATTCTTTAGATTTGTGAAAATGTAAGTTTTAGACAGTGGCATATTGTGTCAGAGTGACTGTGACAGATATTTTTGCATAATGAAAAGTATTTTTATGACTATGAAAGGCAGCATGAGAAAGAATTTTGTGAACTTGTAACTTATTGAAATTTGTTTGGTGAGGTTGTCCTTTTAAACTGATAAAAAAAAAAAACCTCTCAGCTGTCATCAGAGATCTTTGAGAATGATAAAATTTTACTTGAGTTATTGATTTAAAACTGACAGACAACTTATTGGTTGGCCACTAGAGCCCCTCCTCAGGGTCCTCCATTGTTGTTGAGGGTTGTATTTGCCTTTTGCTGTTTAGCACAGGGCCTGCCAGGTTTTAGAAGATCCTGTGGGCTAAGAATTCTGTAGGAAGACAAACTTACTTTGACCTGAGAAGCTAGGCTGCAGTGATTCTGTCCACTGTCTGGAGAGCTTCAGTTTAGATGAAAGGC